GGGCCAGAAATCTTGTTGTATGAAAGATCAAGAACCTGGAGGCTGAGCCTGAACCCAGTAGAGTCCTTGGTGGAGAAATCAAGAGAGTTTGAAGAGAGATTGAGAAACTTCAAGGCAGAGCAAGCACCCAAGCTGGAGACATCAGATATTGGGCCTGACAAGGAGTTCTCAGCTAGATCTATGGTGGTGAGGAGAGGGCTGCACTTGGATTTAGGAGGGAAGGAGATGGAGCCAGAGAGAGAAGCTGATTTTAGAGTGAGAGATTCAAGAGAATCAAGTGTCATCAAGAAAGTGGAGACAAGGGTGAGATTGGTGTTTAAGGCGGTGCCGCTGAGGTCTATGGAGGAAACCCCGGTTTGCTTGCAGGAAATACCATTAAAGGCACATGGGTTTTGGTTGGGGAGCCAGGTGGGGAGAAGGGTTGGGCTTGGAAGAGAGTATTTGAAGTTGAGGAGCTTTTGGGTGTCTCTGTAAGCAGAAGACGAAGAAGATGAGGATGCTGGGCGTGATGCAGAGAAGGCTTGGAGAAAGAGTAAGTGAAGAAGAAGGAGAAGGAAGGGGAAGGAGAAGTGAGAGTGGTGCTGTGAAATAGCTTTGTGGAGTTTCATTTTGTAAGTTCACTTTTGAGGTGCTAAAAGAAGTGGTTTTGGTTTTATGTTCTTAGGTCTGCCATTAGAGAGAGCTCAGAAGCTATACCTGCTGGTTTAGAGAGAGAGATAGAGAGAGAGAGAGAGAGTCAAAAGTCAGAATAAGGAAGGTAAGAAGGGTATTTATCAAGTGGAGGGAGTGGACACAGGGATTGCTCACATGCCATGTGACTCTCTCTCTCTCTGCCTGTTTGTTTGTCTGAATTTACGCTTTCTCTCTCTACTTTTCTTCTTTAAAATCACCTTTTAATCTCCTTCTTCTTCTTCTTCTTTTATTATCAATCATTCTTTTAACTCTCAGTTTTCTTTTTCCTTTGTTTCTGTAATGGAGGAGTTTAAGAAAAACCACTCTCTGTCTCTCTCTCTCCTCAGGGCTTAATTATGGGCACTATTATCTGCTTGTCTCTCTAGCTTTATGGCTTTCTTTCTGCGTACGTGAGAAGAAATGAGAGATCAAAACCAATGATACATCCATCACTGTCAATTAATGAAGATTCCTGCCTCTTAATTTATTGGCACTTTTTTAATTAAGGGATCTGGTCTTATCAAATACAAAAATTAAGAGATCTGGTCAATTTTATATGGACTTCTTTTTCTTTTTAAGCTTTGTTATTCTTGTGCTATATTGTTATTGAAATGACTCACTTTATAATATGTGTCTTTTATACTCTTTATTTCTATTTTTTTTTATATATATAAAAAAAATGTTTCAGACCTATCATACTATATTGCATTTCTTTTCATTTTTATCTTATACAAAAATACAAAGAAACTATGAATTATGATGGACGCAAAAATCTTATTTTACCTTCTTATTACTGTAATTTTAAATTATAAAATTAGTCTATTAAATAATTTTTTTTGTTTTCATTTTTTTATACAAGCGATATTCGGGGTGGTGGAATTGAACTTAGGACCTCAAATGCGGGGGTGAATGCTCAGTTAAGAGACAAGAACTCAGTGGAGATTATATTATCGCACTATCAATATTTTGTTAACATAATATACAATAGGGTTTCTACTTGCAACTCAAGTGATTAAGAGTATTTACTCATACATGTGAGGTTATGTATTTGATTCATCTTCCCTCGATTGTATAAAAATAACATAACATACTAAATATCTAGTTGTTCTTGATTCCCATCCAGATAATAAGTTTCATAAACGGGTCTATTTTTATAGTGTGTCTCTTTAAAGTGGAATTGATCCTTTATTTTTTTTCCTTTTCATTCACTCGTATCCATTTTGTTTCATCGATTTTGTACATATCCTCATTTTACCCCCTTGAAACCTTAATAGCGGGTGAGAAAACCCCTCCCCCATTATCGCTTGTATCAACAACAACAAAAAGTCAAGGGTAGAAGCAAACTCATCCTATAGCAATGATACAACAACCACCTATTGTATCAAAAGGAAGTTTTTGAAACACTCTCTTGGGGAGCTTTTTAAGGAGAGGTTAGAAGCATGAGAAGCTTTGCAGACTCACTCTAACTCAAAATATTTTTACATGATACACCACTACTTATAGGACAATCCTTGGGAACATGAAAAAAAACTCCACCATATGTGTACTTACAAAACGTGAATATGGAGGTTCTAGAAAAATTTCGTATGTATGAAGGCAAGTTATTCAACCTATCTTGAAGTTCGATAAAAATGTCCTATGCCTAGGTGAAAAGTTCTTGAACCTCCCTAGAGGTTTCATATAGTTCCCAAAGCGAAATGACTTGGATTGTGTCACATGTTAGCCATTTTCCCCTAGGCAACAAATGAAAAGCTTCAAGGCAATATGGATCTCAAGTGAACACACTACAAAAACTTTGAATGAATATGTAGAACACTCTAATGACAAAAAGATGAAACTTTGGCTACATAGAACAAAATTTTGAAATAAATTATATTTAAAAAAAATAAAAATAAAAAAAAAACTTGAAGCCTTGATTATGGAGACTTCCAAAAGTATGAGTCAGAACTCAACTCAAAGCCAAGATTGTATCTTATAGTTTTCTAGGCCCGACAAACATTTGGCAACAACTTGGAAGCACACATACTGCTCACTCACTTGCAAAATACTCAAAAATGGAAAAATTGTTCCAATGAAAGCAACATCAAGGTTCATGGGACGGTACCAAATTTATGTCTTTTTATTTTTCACAATTTATTTTCAAGATGTGTAGAAGGCCCCGAGGCATAAATATAAAAACCCTCAATCGAGATGTAAAGCACCAGTCCCCAACTTTGGTATAAACTAAAGCCCTCTGTTGGGAAACATATTCCATCAACCGAGGCTTGACATGAAAGCAAGATAACCTCAATATAGGTACCAACCATCAATAGAGGTATGAACTCAAGATAACCTAAATATTGGTATAACGCGCCACTAGAGGTATAAATCAAGATAACTTCAACATAGGTACCAACCGCTAGAGGCGGACGTACGTTGGGACAAGAGGGGACTAACGACCCCTTGGAATGCCTGAAATTTCGCTGTGGACCAAGCTGCGGAGCTACCTCTTGTGTGCACACCGGGTGCTCGACGAAAGTCCTAGCCTATCTATGTCTTGTGTTGGTTTGCCATGGAATCGATAGACCACTCGTTTTTCAATTGTGCACTGATGCAAAAACCAAACCAACCGTAAGGAACAAATTTTTTTTTTTCCTTTTTAATTTCGTGCTGCTCTGGTTTATTTGTTCTTGTGAAACAATGGAAGAAAGAAAGCCTTTTCGTTTAGTTAGTAGCGGGGGAGTGGCGGGGAAGAAAGAAAAGAAAGAAGAAAGAAAAAAAAGAAAGAAGAAAAAGAAAAAAAAAAAAAAAAAAAAAAAAAAAAAAAAAAAAAAAAGAGGGGGGGGGAGGGAGAAGAAGGAAAAATAAAAGAGAGAGAGAGAGAGAGAGAGAGAGAGAGAGAGAGTAAAAAAAGAGCGGGGGGAATATTAAATAAAAGGAAGGGAAGAAAAAATAGGAAAAACAAAAAACAAAAAAGAAGATGGATCTATCTTCTCTACTCACTCTCTTTCTTTTTTTCTTCTTTTTTTCCTAATCAAGTGGGTCGAGGTGGAAAGCCAGAAATGATGGGTGTATAGCTCAAGGTAGAAAGCAAGAAATTACGGGTGGTTGTAGAAACGGGTGAGATAATGGGTGGTGGCGATATAAAGAAAAAAGGAATAATATAAGGAAGGAGAAAAAAAAAAAAAAAAAAAAAAAAAAACAAAAAAAACAAAACAAAAAAAAAAAAAAGCTCCATCAATTTACTTACCAAGACTTCCTTCAATTTGAAAACAAAATGGAACTCCCTTCTATTCCTGAAAGCTCCTCATATTTGAATTTGTCTCTTACTCCTCCTTCAACCCAGGAAACAACACATGAAAATATTGTGTTTCCACATTCCAATTTCCATACCGGTTCTACTTCTGTGCAAGCTATAAACATGCATAATGAAATGCTATCAAATATGCACTTGCATAATGAAATGGCAAAGAGGAAGAGACCCAATTTCTCAATGCTCGTAGTGCTACTTCAGTGGAAAATTTAGGATTGCGTCTGCTAGCAAGTTACCAAGAATGTGCTTCATTGACTGCACAAGTCGCATCCTTGAAGGCTGAAGTTGTAGAATTGCATAAGCTCCTCAAACAATCAAACTGAAAAAAAATCAAGATTTGTTGAACTAGTGCAAGTTTTACAAACACGTGTAAAGACTCGTAGATTATAGTTTCATTGATGAATTTAATGCTTTTAAAGAATCTTAGGGTACTACTTTTGTAGTTTTATTTTTGTTGTTGTTGGCATGTTTGATTAAAATCATTTATAATCATAAGTTATCTTTTATTATGTCATATCTCAATTGGAAACCCCAAGAAAACGGAGATTTTTTATTTTTTATTTTTATTTTATTAGAAGCAATAGTAATTTTATTGATAACACAGAAAAGTACAGAGTAGCCGCAATGCCAAATATGAGTACAACATCTCCAGTGACCAAACATAAAAATAAATTGGTTTGATCTGGAGAGAATTACGCATGCCAAAAAAACATAAAAACTCCAATTTGGCATATAAGAAGCACCTGTACTTAGACCTACAATACAGATCAACCGTGCAACGACAGTAATGACAAATCCGCATCGAAAAGTCGAACACTAAATACAAACATCAGTGAACTCCTATTGAGTTTCTGAGAATTATTAGACTTAAAAAACACACAGAAACAAGGACATTGCACCACTTCCTCTCCAACAAACCAAAGAGACTCGTAGCACCAACATGGCTAAACCTCTTATTTTGCACAGGCAAAACCCAATCCCACACAAACTAGCAACAATCACTTTTCCAACTCCAAACATTGAATTGGAGCAAATTCTATATGAGTTGACCCAAAGCTGCAACAAAATCATGGCGTCTATGGTGGATTGCAGTAGTTGCTTCAAACACACAACAAAAACCAAAGAGAAAAGCTAGGTCGACCACACCACACTGCAACCATCCCAGTGACAGCAAAACACATCCAAGAACAACAAAAGTCACCAAGGACCTACAACAAAAAACACATAAACAAACAAAGAAAAGACAAGATCCAGATAGATCTGGGTAAGAGGACCCAAAATCCAAACAAATCTAGGGAGAGAATAGGAGAGGGGAAGAAAATTAGGAAAAGAGAAAGGGAGATGAGGAGAGGAAGATGGAGGATGGAGAAGCCACCCACCCCTAGAGGGGGGCGACTGTTGCAGTGCAATCTCACAGTTTAACCTTCAGAGAGAGTTTAGGGTTTCTCCTTCAGAGAATTTGAAAGAGAAAAAATAGATAAGAAAAAGGGAAAACTTTCTAAATATTTTTTTGGAACATTTACACTATGACCCCTTGGATTACGGAGGTATGAATTCAAGATAACCTCAATAGTAGTATAAAGTCACGACAATTCAAATTGAGCATCGGCAACCTATTGTTTTATTGTAAATGTTTTGGAATAATACATAAACTAATACAAAGGATTGTGTTATTAGATTTTTTTTTCATTCAAAAATTTTGCGTTAGTGTCATTATTTGAGTTTGACCCCTATTGATTGATTTTATGGTTACCTCTTGTGCACACATAGACATTCAAAAACAAGGGGACATTTGTAGGAGCATAAAATCAAAATCACCATGTCAATGAGATTTCGCCACATTTATAACTAGAGGACTTAACATAATTACCAGTTGCCAACCAGAGGGTGCCATATTAGCACCTTGGATATGCACAAATTAATCAGTGTTCAAGATGAAAATTGATCCCAAAATTTAAGGGCAATTAGCGCTCATTATGAAAGCAATTGATGCTCATTACCAAGGAAATTAATGAATGTTAATGAGATACTCATTTTCTAGGCTTAATTGCAATAGTGCACTCTGAAACATTAGTCAAATCCCATTTTACTCCCTTAAAGTTAAAGTGACCCACTTTGCCCCCTTAACCAAGGTTTGATGTTCCACATTGCCCCATACTATCAATTCCATCCAAAAGTCTGTTAAGTTTGATGATGTGGCAGGGGTGTTTTAGTAATTTTGTGCACCTAGGTCATTTACTCAAATTTGAGTAGGTGATGTGGCAAAGTGGATCCCACCTCTAGCATGGATAAAATTAATTACCTCAAAAAATTAAAATACAAACATAAAATTGAAAAAAATATATTTTAGAAAAGAAAAAAAGACATTACCCATCCCTTCTCCCCCTATTCGCACCAAACCTACCCCTTTCCTGAGCAGAACCTAGAAAGCCATCTCCCTCCCCACCCAAAAGCCATCTCCGACTCCCCCTAACCCCTCCCCCCCACCCCCAAAACAGAACCCCAGCCCCCCATAGCCATTTCGAGCATCACCGGCCCATGCCCCTCTTACCCCCTTTCTCCATTGCAACCCTTGCACACACACACACACACACATAAAAATTTTAAAGTTTTAAGTTTGTATTTTAATTTTTTTTAAGTAAATAATATTTATTATTTTTTAATTCATGCTGGAGGTGGGCTTCACTTTGCCACATCACCCACTCAAATTGGTGAGTAAAAGACCTAGGTGCACAAGTGGGTTGCTATCTCGTTCACGCGAGGAGAGCCTTGACGGCTAGGGTTAAGGTTTCTCCTGTTTTCTTTACTCATTCTTTGAGCCGTCTCTCTTAGTCTTCTATGATTGTCTATTGTGGTTCTTCTTGGTGAATTGGGTATGACATTTTTTTTGCTTTTTTGTTCTCCGTGGGGTGGCTGTGGGTTGGCTTTCTTTTTGGTTTCCCAAGGAGCCATTCACTGGTGAGGAGTCTCCATCTTAATGCTATGGAGATGACCACCACCTCTTCTGCTCAAGGGGATGAGAAGTATGTGGCACCAAGCGGGAATCAGAAGCGTGCAAAAACTGGTGTTGGGCATCTGATTGTTAGGGGCATGGATTTTTCTGGTAAGTATAGTTTTTATATCGATGATTTTGTTGACAAGGCGGAGGAGACCAACCTCGAGGGGTCTCCAAGATCTCCCTAATAATTCTCCTATGGAACGTTTGTGGGCTTGGAAACCGATGAACATTCCTACTATGAAGATCTTTCTTTGGAATTTTCTTCAGGCTAAGAGGCCAATCTTGGTCTCCCTTGCTTCTCAGCTAGGGTTCTGGATCAAGAAAATTGGAGGAGGCGGTTGGTGTTTGGCTGGATCTGTTACGATGCTCACAATACGTTCTTGACTCTATACGAAGAACTATGATGCTTTCTTTAGATCATATGAGGCTTTCTTTGACAGTATATGCATAGTGATGGGATGTGTTTCAATGGTTTTGTAGTTGGGTGATTGGCTGGATCTATTTTGATACTCATAGTACGTTTTTGACTTTGTCCAAAGAACTATGATACTTTTTCTAGATCATAGGAGGACTTCCTTGACAGTACCTACGTAGTGATGGGATGTTGTTTTAAGGGTTTTGTGGTTGGGGTTTAGGTTAGTCTGTTTGGTATAAGTTGTTTGACTCTTCTGTTTAGTCAATAACATGGGTGGTACTCTTTCTTACTCCGGGATTTTGTTTCTCTGGGAAGGTTTTAATGAGGTTGTCGTTAACATGCTAGTTCTTACCAAGTGATATTCCTTTCTGTTGAATGAAATACCATCTTTTCTATAATATTTATATATAAAAAAGACCTAGGTGCACAAAATTACTAAAACACCCTTGCCACGTCATCAAACTTAATAGACTTTTGGATGAAGTTGACGGTAGGGGGCAATGTGAAACATCAAACCTTAGTCAAGAGGGCAAAGTAGGTCACTTTAACTTTAAGGGGATAAAATAAGATTTGACTAATGTTTCAGGGTGCATTGTAGCAATTAAGCTTTTCTATGTAAATGATCTCAATGTTGATTCAGAATTTGTTATCCTACTTTGATGGTAACCCATGCTAGGATGTCTAAAGATGTTGTTCTAATTCTAGTTGAAGGTCATACTCTTGTTGATGAATTGTCCTGCGATGTGTGGTTGAAACAAAAAAGTGATGTTAAAGAAAGTAATTCTATAAGGAATATATAATAACAGCGTTATTTGCATCTCAATATTTTTTTTTAAGTGAAAATTTATTTATGAATAAAATATTCTTAATGAACATGTTTTCATTCCAACAAAAAATTGTAAAAAAAAGAAGAAAAAAAGTGGGCATTGTGATTGCCATAACCATGGCAATCTTTCAAACTTGACCATTACACTCTCTTATTGAAATATACATGTGTGAAGCATGTGGTTATATGTTTATAGTAGATAGATATATGTTGGCGTGACTTGTGAATATTGACTTACTTTCCTTACATACCAAGAATTCCTATTATAATTGTAATTGATTTACTTTAATTCCTGATTTCCTACTGTAAATAGATTTAGGAATTTATTATTTACTTGCCCATTCAAGTTTCGTTGTATTATAAATATGACCTCCTACAAGGAGAAGAATACACAGAAAATTCCCACAAATAAATATTCTCTCATAGTTTCATATTTTAACATGGTATCAGAGCGGCGATCTTGGAATTGCTGACTATAGTTTCAAACCCCCACCACCGCTATGGGGGTTGATGATTTTTTCAACCCTCATGGAGGTAGCACCACCGACTCCTTCTCTCCTTCTCAACCAACCATAGCTGAGTTGAGTGTCCAAATGGCTCAGCTCCTACAGATGCAAACTTTGGCCCCGAATCTGATCCTGAATCAGGATCCTATTTTGATGACCCCGAACCCGATCCTAAATCAGGATCCTATTTTGACAACCCCGAACCCGACCTCAACTATGATGACGATGACCCCGACCTTGACTCTGAAGACGACCCTGACCCCCACTCTGATGATGACCCCAACCCCGAATTTGTCTTTGATTCAGACCTCGACCCCGATTTCGACTCCGACTCAGGCTCAGATTCCAATATGAATTCCTACTCAACCCGTATCCTATGCATCTTCCGCTGCATAGATTAAGACTTCTCGACTAACGACCCCGACACATGGACCAAATTGTGCATATTGTGGTGATCCGAGACACACTCGTAAGACTTGTTTTTAAATTGCATGGCTACCCCAATTGGTGGGCTACTCTTAAAGATCGAAGACAATGCAATATGACCAGTAATAGTACTGGTTATGGATTCCATACTTCCGATAAGATTGATTCTAGGAGCTGGATAATTGATTCCGGTGCAACTGATTATATGATGTTTGATCCTGATGATTTTCTGAATACTACACAACCTCGACAAACCTGTATTGCAATTGCCAATGGCGTTACTTATCTTGTGACAGGGGCTGGCACTGTTGCACTCTCATCCTTTCTCACACTGTCTAATACTTTACTTGTTCCATCTTTATCCACTAAATTGTTGTTAGTTAGTCAGCTTACTAAACAATTGAATTGTTATGTACTCATTTTCCTGAGTTTTTGTTTGCTTCAGGATATTCACACTAAGGAGATTATTGGTCGTGGTACTAAGAGAAGGGGGCTATATTATGTTGATGACTTCAGTCCCGGCGTGGCTATCAGTGTGACGCATTCCTTTGATAGCAAACAAAAGAAAATATGGTTGTGGCACCGTCGATTGGGACATTCGTCTTTTAGTTATATGAAGCATCTTATACCAGATTTATTTTCAGGTTTCAAGGACTCTGACTTCACATGTGATATTTGTATTTTGGCCAAGAGTCATCGTGTGCCCTACCCATTGAGTACGAACAAGTGTACTACTCCATTTACGTTAATTCACTTTGATGTCTGGGGACTTTCCCCTATCACTGCTCCTTCTAGTGTTCGATGGTTTGTCACATTCATAGATGATTGTACACGAATGACATAACTTTATTTGCTAAAGAATAAAAACGAAGTGTTTTCCCATTTTCAATCCTTCCACAAATAGATGAAAACTCAGTTTAATGCTCAAATCCAGATTCTTCACTCAGACAATAGTGGAGAATTTGTCAATCATGACTTTCAGACTTACTTCCAACAACATGGAATTATCCATATGATGACTTGTCCTCAGACATCGCAACAAAATGGTGTTGCTGAACGAAAGAATCGACATCTTCTTAAAACCCCCCGAGCACTTCTGATTGGTGCTCATGTTCCTCGCCATCACTGGGATGATGCTATTGTCACCGCAGTTCACCTGATCAACCGCATGCCTTCTGGTGTATTGACATTTAAAACTCCCTTACAAGTGCTTGCACAATACAAACCTCTTCCCTCTGTTTTGGTACTCACGCCCCGAATCTTTAGATGTGTGGCTTTTTTTCATCTCCACAAAAATCAACGTAGCAAACTTGATCCCTGTGCGCTTAGTTGTGTTTTTGTGGCTTATGCCACTCATCAGAAGGCTACCGTTATTATCACCCTCCTACTCGACGTACCTATGTCACTTTGGATGTGACCTTTCTGGAATCTGAGCTGTTCTTACATGACCCATTATCCAATTCTACGCTTCATGGGGAGATACGAAGTGAAGAGCAGAATTGGAGCAACTTGGAAAATGAAGAAATTCTCCTTTGTATAGAAATGATCGATTGTCCCGAGTCTGGAGCACGAGATTACTCTCTATCGAAAAGCGATCAATCGCCTATTCATAGCGATCAATTGCCTGACCCACCTGATCCATGTGAAGATATTTTTGATCCGAGTCTCACACCTACATACAATACATAACAACAAGATGAAGACCCCCTTCTAACTCAATAGTACCAACAAACCAATCTCCTAAGAATATCCTTGAGGTAATTACTCCTACTAGACTTGTGCATTTATTGGATAAAACTATTGGATATCAATTACCTTTCAGGCAAAATCGTGGGAAGCCACCAAACCGTTATTCACTTGATATTGGCAAGACATCCAAGTATCCAATTGCAAATCATGTATCCACTGAGAAGCTGTCAGAACCACTCAAGGCTTTTGTGCACCAGTTGTTTGTTATTCATATTCCAACCAAGATCTCTGAAGCATTGAAAGATCCTAAGTGGGTCCAAGCTATAAAAGAGGAGATGAAAGCTTTTGAGAAAAATCAGACTTGGACATTGGAGACTATACCACGAGGAAAAAAGACTATCGGATGTAGATGAGTGTTTACTATAAAACACAATGCAGATGGATCTATCGAGCGATACAAGACAAGACTTGTGGCAAAATGGTACACACAGACCTATGGTATATACTATGAAGAAACATTTGCTCCAGTTGCAAATTTAAACACCGTCAGAGTCTTATTGTCCTTCGCAGCTAATTTGGATTGACCACTACACCAGTTTGATGTAAAGAATGCTTTTCTACATGGCGAACTCACGGAGGAGGTGTACATGGACATCCCTCCTGGATATAATACTACTCAGACTAGAACAATTTGCAGGTTACGAAAAGCATTGTATGGATTGAAACAATCACCACGTGCATGGTTTGGACGGTTCACCATGGCAATGAAGAACAATGGTTTTAAACAGTGCAACTCAGATCATACTCTGTTCTTGAAACATCGGAAAGGGAAGGTAACAACATTAATATTCTATGTTGATGATATGATTATTACTGGGAATGATAAACAGGAAATATCACAGCTACAAGACTATTTGGCTACGGAGTTTGAGATGAAAGACCTAGGTGGACTCAAGTATTTCTTGGGAATTGAGGTGGCTCAATCGCAGCAAGGCATATTTCTCTCTTAAAGGAAATATGTCTTGGACTTGTTGACAGACACATGAATGCTAAATTGCAAACCTACAGACACTCCTATTATTCAGAATCATCATCTTGGAGAATATCCAGATCAAGTTCCAACTAACAAAGAAAGATACCAAAGGTTAGTGGGAAGATTGATCTATTTTTCACATACTCGACCAGACATTGCTTATGCGGTGAGCGTTGTCAGTCAATTTATGCACTCTCCAAGTGAAGACCACATGAATGCAGTTCTTTAGATACTTAGATATTTGAAGTCTGCACTTGGAAAATGACTTATGTTCTCAAAGCATGGTCATCTAAATATTGATGGTTATTCATATGCAAATTGGGCAAGTAATGTAACAGATAGAAAATTCACATCGGGTTACTTAACATTCGTGGAAGGTAATTTGGTGACATGGAAGAGTAAGAAACAGAATGTAGTAGTTTTATCCAGTGCAGAAGCCGAGTTCAGAGGCATGACTAAAGGGATTTGTGAACTTCTTTGGTTAAGAAAGTTGCTTATTGAACTTGTGTATAAACCTGCATCCACAATGAATCTCTTTTGTGACAACAAGACTGCTATAGTCATTGCACAGAATTCGATTCAGCATGATCGTATTAAACATGTTGAGGTGGATCGACACTTCATCAAACAAAAGCTTCAGGCTAAAGTGTGTCAGTTTCCATTGGTGAAATCCGAGGATCAATTGGCGGATATTTTAACAAAGACGATTTCCAGTAAAGCATTCCACAATTCACTGGATCAGTTGGGCATTGGCGACATCTATGCACCAACGTGAGGGGGAGTGTTGGCGTGACTTGTGGATATTGACTTACTTTCCTTACACACCAAGAATTCCTATTATAATTGTAATTGATTTACTTTAATTCCTGATTTCCTACTGTAAATAGATTTATGAATTTATTATTTACTTGCCTATTTAAGTTTCATTGTATTATAAATATGACATCCTACAATGAGAAGAATACACAAAAAATTCTCACAAACAAATATTCTCTCATAATTTTCATATTTTAACAATATATGCTTTGATGATATACCTCGCTCTCTCTTCGTCAGTGGGTTTCTTGAAACTATAATAATGCATCTAAGAATTTCTTGATAAAGACGAGGGTAAAGATGGAATTGAAAAAAGTATTTATCAAGATTGAATTGAGACATATTTGTAGGAATAATTGTGACTGAAAATACCTATATTGATAGATAATCAGTTTTTACAGTTATTTGGAGCTTTTACCAGCAAAGAAGAAAAGAACAGTGAATCTTCGCCATACGTCACTTTCTCCCGTGCACAAACACCGATACTTATCAACGGCTGTCAAATATTAACCGCTTATACGACGTGTCGTTGACCCATTCGCCAGCATGCGTAACGTTTACTTTTTTTTCTTTCTTTCTAGCGTCGTAATTAATAAAGAAAAAACGTTAAGAAAATTGCTCTGCTGTCACTTGGACACATTCATTCTTCCTTGATCGGGGTTGATATGATTATCGGACTGTCACCATCTCACCTCTCACAACCCATTCCTCTTTCTCTCTCTAGGTAATATGAGGGCCCACATTTACATCATTTTTCCCGGGTGGGTCCGGATGGGCCCGAGATTGATAAGCTTCTCATCTAATTTTGAATAAATGGGCACTGAAAAATTGAGGAGATGATGATGTCTTGAGTTGGAGGGGGTGGGGCCTAGAAGCTGCAATCAACACGTGCCCATGTCCGTGGTGCTGACGTGGACCAATGGGAGCCGTTTAGTTTGACCCCAACGTCACCGACAGCTTGGCCATTCTGTCACTGTTACGGTACGCTTCGAGACTTGAGAGTGAGAGAGAGAGACAGAGTGGTGGATTCATACTATTTCCAACCCAATTTTTACTGTTTCTGTTGCTATCGTGCGCATTGGGTTTCGGGCACTCAAAAAATAAAAAGAAGGGAATATGAATAAAAATAACCCCCCCACACGTGCACAAACTCGCGAGCAATTATTGTTGGGTTTTTCGTTGGTCCCACACATTAAAGTCCTAAATTTTAATGCACAGAAATGTGATTAATTAAGGGATGTGTTAATGAAGATAATATGATTAATTTTGTGTTTATGTGTTTAGGGTTTGCAGAGAGAGGAAGAAGGTCAGGGTGTGTTTGTTGTTTTTTTTTTTTTCGTTTTGTCTTTGTCTTTCTTTTTCTTTCTATCTATCAGTAATCAAGCACAAAGTACAAATTGGAAAATGAGAATGAAAACTAATGCCACACGGAGGGGGCGAGAGATATCACTTATTAAAGAGGATTGACCCCCACCCACAACCCCCCAACCCCACCTCCACCGAATTATTTTTGACTAGGACACTGCTTGCCTTCTTCCTTGAAAGAATAATTTTTTCATTTTTTTAAATTATAGTCTGGCACATATGCACAAATAATTTATCGAAAAATACGAAAAAAAATTTCACACGTATCAAGTTTTAATTCGCAGGAAAATATAGGTTTCTACTTCCATTTCGGGAAAAGGAGGCGAGTATTTTTCTTTTGGCTATGAGTTCTATGGAGAGAGTTGGGCCATACATGGGTGATTGGACAACCCTTCAAATACAGAGAAGTCACATTGCAAAGCCCAGCTAGCCCAAGGAGATACAGCTAGCGGCACTCGTGTGGCTTTATGAGTTTTGTCATTTGCATCTACTTTTTAAATAAATAATTGCAAAATTCTTCGTCTCATAATTATCAAATATAGACTGTACCATAACAATATCATCCTATTGAAAATATTATCCACACGATTATTGCTAATAAAGCAGATTCGGGGATAGAAATTTATATGCTTATTTTCCATGTGATATATTTAACAATACAACAACGCATGTCACGTGACAGAATAATCCAGTTGATTTTTTCTTAATAATGTCACGTTTGGTTAAGGTGAAAGAGAAGCTCTCGATGGAGTCTTTACAATCGATGTGGTTGGAGATGAAAATGTTAGGCCACAATGCCTTAATGTCTTGCTTGGGTCAAACTCAAACTATCCCTAGCTCATAAGTATAATTGATAGGCATAAAATGTAGGGCCAAAGCAGCTGTATGTGAACCAAATTTTCTTCTGTGTCTGATTTCTGTGTGCATCATTTCTCCATCATAATTAAAAGAACCTGGCTATTCATGACCAATTTTAGGTATGATTTTCTGGTAATTACACTATGCATGCTCTCATTTTTCTTGCTTTGTTAGGCCTTGGGGCTGTTTGTGCCTCACTTTTTCTATCACTTTGTAGAATGCGACTGCTATCAATATATTACTCCTTTTTTTAACAAAAATACAAACAGTATTAAAGAAGAAAGAAAATTTAGGATTTCAGGTACACATAGAAATACAAATAATTAAATGTGAACAAATTATTGAGAGTTGGGACAAACAAAAAAAATTTTAATTCTATTTTTTTTTAAATTTTTTTTTTTTTGAGCTAAGAGAGATTGGCTACTTTTACCGCCAGCATCAGGGCAAACCCACAACCTCGAGCAGGAAGGAATTACACATAGTACCCAACTGCCAGCTGCCACCAGTGTGAATTTATATAGGAAATTACAAATCGCACACTAACGAGAGCTGGTTGTAACGAAACTCAAACACTAATGGGACTACACACAGTGCAAAAAACCTTACCAATTGAACCTTCTCTCGTTGACGAATTCAGAAACATTTTTCATGGTGCCACTACCATTAGACTTCACATTACAAATGTTTTTTTGCGGTAAAATTCACCTGGAGTGCAAATGGCGGCAGAAATGCATAGCTGGTATTTGCAGTACTTGAACAGTGAAGTAGGTGAAGAGGCACCTTAAATACATCAAAGTCAAATCACTGCCAGAATATCATTATTTTTCATTTTGTTTATAATTTTATTTCGATGCTGTTATGATTTTACTAAAAAACATGCACCAACTTTGACCTAAGGGAAGAATTATTTTTTTCCCTATACGTCAAAACTTCAAGCAAAGCATGTGATAGAACCAGGTGACACCAAAGGGTATGCAGGTATTCCATACCATGATTGTCCACAGTATCCTTTTTATTTATTTATTTTTTTTGAAATTTACAGAAATACTATTTGAACTTCTAGACATGTTGCGTGATTCTCAATTGAATTTGTTAATTTTTATTATTAATCATCTGAACTCTATAAAGTGTTGTAGTTTACTCCTTATGTCATGTTCCGTCCACTGTTTTGTTAAAACGTATCACACGCCCTTCACTTGGAGGGATGTTTTAGTTCATCTACATGTATAGGGCTCATTGATGAGGAAAATCAATTTGGGAGGGAATTGGGACATTGTAAGTTCAAATGGTATTCTTGCAAAATTCCCTTAGATTTTTTGTTTATACAAAGGATATTAGAGAATGAGAGAACATAACATAATAGTTCATATGCAAATTAACCGCTCTTAACCACTTGAGTTACAATTCCCTTATTGCATAATTTCAAAGAATTTGGTTTATGTTCACAGATGCATCAATTCCCCATGCTTCAAAACAATGGTTTATTTCAGGCCGGCGCTGTATGGTTGTTTTAAATAGGCAGATCTATGATGTGTATTGGGACCACCAAGATTGTGAATCTGCAAGAAACACTTGTAGAGTTTCAATTATTCTGAATTCTCCTGTATACTAAACCCACCTAACACATATCAGAATTTCATAAAAACTTTTTTAATGGCTGATGATATGCAGTGCAACTTATTGAGGCCCAATATATGAAAAATTTCGAATTCATTGGTTAATGCCAAACTGCATCAAGGGAAGACAGATAAATAGGGTTTAATTCTGTCAAAATAGAGTTTACCACATGTTATTACCTCACATTAGATGGTCTGAAATTAATTTAATAAACAAATTACTATAAAAAATAACTGTGGTACAAGGTAACTTCCAGGGGCTGAAATTTTACACCCATGCAATGGGAACTTTCACTTTGACTAAATTCAAGAACACAAATATGAACCATGGTGAAAACAAAAAAAGTATAATAATCAAGGGATCTGGCTTTCTGGTTGTGAAGAAACTCCTTGAATCAGCTGTTCTATATTGCTCTCCCTCACTCTCTTTTTAGATTTATCCCCGACTGTTGTCACAACCTGTCGCTGAATTCTATACCTTCTCATCGACTTCAGAAGATTCTGATAAAGCACTGTTCTTTTGGGATTTGCTGCTTGGAAGACGCTCCTTGCCCCCTGGCTTGGATGAGGCGTTGCCGTACCAGATCATTCCCAATATCGCAATGAACATACCTATAACTACTTGATGATTGAGACCCTCTTTACCGAAGAAAATGAACCCTAGGATCAAGACTAGAATTGTCTTCATATGGCCAAGGACTTGAAATGACACAGCCGTAAATCTACCAATGCAGATGAACTGGCTGAGGTTGGTCCCTACCGCAATGGTGCAAGACAGGACAATTAACGACTGCAGGAAACAAATAGCATCGCAAATCACTAACCGTAGTCACAAGTTATAGCCAGCCATAAGCAAAATGTAGGTTGTCACAAGTCATAATAAGCAGCTGTTAGGAAAATGTATTTGCATATGTGCTCACAGGCATGCACGTTTCCAGCTCTATAAATTGTGGGATAATCCTACCATGGTTCACACACAACACCATTTAAACTCAATTCCTTTTTATTTGTCTGAAAAGACCTATGGTATTATGATCTTGCTAAAGTTTTCTTAACATTGAGGAATATTTGTACCAATCAGGCCCTAGGAGGGAAACACAGCTCTACAAGAGAAAAAAGTCACCTGTACACTTATGAAGGTTACCACAACGAAGAAACTGTGTATTAAACGAAACATGAAAATCAATTGATCTATACTTAAGAAGTATCACGATGAATGATCACTTTATTCGATTTTACTGGTAGAAAGAGAAAAAAAAATCATCGACGGGTAAGGGAGTGTGTGTTGGTGTTTTTGTGTGTGAGTGAGAGAGATCTATTTATAAGCAAACATTTGGTTGTAGGATATCATAGGCGATCATGCATCATCAATTACGTTCACCTTAGGATGAAGACATTAGGATCAACAGAGTAATGAGAGACGTTGCACATTCAGCAGAGTTATTGCACAGGAGAACCAGACTCCTATTTGTGAAGTTTTTGTCATTAAAAGGTTTTGATCAACGCTTGAAGTGGCAAAGAATTTTGTACACTAATATTGGCTCTTTTCCAGAGTGATACAATACAGAGACAGGAAAGATGGTTTCTATTCCTTATAAATAATATTGCAAAAAGTAATTGACTTGGCACCATAAATCTCTTATGGAATCTGCCAAACAAAATTTTCAGGTTCAACAGATTAGGAGCTGCCCCCATTGAGTAGACAGAAAATACATGAAGTAATTAACACAACCACGCATGTAGTGCTTACAATTGAAACAATAATCAACATTACATTGAAGCAATCAAGGATCTAGCTAGATAGACTCAATTAATTTATCATGCAAATTTCTCATGTTATACAAGGAAAAAAAACCTAATAGGAAACCTGATAAGACTAACATTATTTTGAAGGGTTAACTATGATACTGAAAATAATGAACATGCAGTCACAAACAAAGACCTGTGTATAAGTATCAAAGCACATGCAACTGAGGATGAATAATGGAAGCACATATCACATAAGCGTGTAAAGGCTAAATGAATCATGATGTAATTGGGCCCAAATGTGAAGGCATGCTTGTATAGACTATAGAAACGTAAACCTTGCAATAAAATCTAGAAATAATAAGACCAACATATATATAACTTACCATGGATATCAAATGATAGTCATACGCATAAACTATTTTATTTGTCAACCAGTAGTCCAAGAAGGGGCCCAATATGAGTAAAGATGCTGCCTGTACTGGCGCAGTATGTCCCAATAAGTTGAAAGATCCAAGCGAATACTTCCGTTGCAGAGAGTGTACATACTACACAAACATAGATATTGAACAATGTAACACAATGCAAGGGGATGTATAAAATCAGATCTGGCTAAGGTGGGGCTTGGAGTTAACCAACAAGAGTCAATACCATCTTTCATTTAGGATCACATCCTAAACACAAACTCATCCTGATAATCAACATCTCACAGCCCCACCCATTTAGAAACAAAATGGTTATTATATTATGGTTAGTTGGTTAAATAACTTGAAATTTCTTTACTGGATACATGTTAAAAATAACAGGTAGAAATATGGAAACCCCAATGAAACTGAAACTTGATTCAGTTGGGCCCCAGGAGGCCAGGACTCACTTAACGACCCCTAACCCATTCCATCCTGGCGCTATCTATATAAGATTATGAATTCAGTTAAGAGTTACTTACATGCTGTTGCAGGGAAGTGCTCCAAACTGCCACTAAAGCAGCTATAAAACCCTTGGCATTGACACTCACATCAGTAACAGTACAAACTGCAACACCGAGGAGAACCAATGTTATGCTTAGTTTTGTGCTCCTTGAGTATCGAACATTGTCCAAGACAACTTCTAGAAAACATGATACTGGGATCATAGTTAGCTTTGCGATCTGACAATAAGATTTGAAAGAAAAAGAACGTTAGCTTATCAAATCTGTATCGAAGAAAGAGAAGTGTTCACTAGTTTACCAAAACTCACCTGATAGAATCCCACAGAGTTCCACATTAAACTCACATTCATTCCGACTATGGAGAAATTCGCAAATAAAACAAACTTCAAAAGATCAGGCAATGGTAGCTGAGAGGGCTGTATATATCCCAGCCACTTGAGAATAACTGTCAGTAAGGTTGTTGTGGCAAAATGCAGACCCGTTAATGTTGTAGCTGCATTATGTAGAGAAAAATGTCAACATGGATGAAAATCTTCTGGTACATTTACCCCAAAATAAAATCTTCTGTTTCTTTGGAAGCAGTATGTTAGACTATGAAGCATGCACACTACTAGAAGGTGGCCGTGCCTGTTACACATTAAGAATACACCTTGGACAGAGTCCACAGTAAATCATTTTGCATTTATATCCAGACCTACAGACTTGTTACTTTCTCCTTCAAGAAAAAAAGTATTTCCAAAATATGATTTAGAGGATTTTATTCCACTTAAGGACAGGGACACTCAAGTGCACAAAAGTCAAGCTCCTCATCGAGAAATTTTTTGCTTATAAACCAACCTTACAACTATACTAGGATTAAACTTAAATAAAATGGTCTGATGGTAATTACAGTTTTACAGAGAAATCTTTAAAAACTAATAAGAAACATATATTCAAAACGTACCCTATCCAAATCTTATCATCACTATATGCAATCTATCTTATTTAGTATGCAAAAATTGTTTGCCCATCATCCCTACATTTTGATCTTGCAACTGACAAGAAATGAGGGGCCTAGAGACTACAACAAATTGGAGGAAGAGCATTACACAGGTAAAGACTATAAGTCTACAACAAATTGGAACATCTCCATTACAAAGGTATTTTTGTTTATTTTCCTGCACCGACTTTCAGTTATAACTATTGGAACCTAAATCATTAAGTAGAATTAACATCTTTACATTTCATTGGGGGGAAATGGGGAAGTGATTACGGAGCATCAAGGGGAGCGAATACAATTTGGTATAAAAAAATATATATAAAAAAAGGCAATGTTCCGAAACGAAAGTGAATAAAACTTTTCCAACTCAGGAGAGGATAATAGAAACCCAAAGGCCAAGAATAAATAGTTTCATATAATTTACAAAAACTTAAAAATGTAAAACAGAAAACCTCCTTTTCGCCAATCAATATGATTCTAGGAACTAAAATCCTCAGAAATTGATAAATCTTCTAAACGAAGGCATCAAGAAGAAAAAAAAATTCAACTGATTAGATAGGCAATGTGAATGAAGAAATTCAATGAGTAAATCATGACAACAGAAACATACCAAAACTGAACCCATGAGTAGCCATCAATGATTTATTGACAATGATTATTCCAACAGATGTGACAACATTGAACAACCATGATGCAGCATCAAGAGACGCCTTCCTATCTGCTTTGCCTGCTGAAGTCATTTTTAACCTATAGCTTCAAATTGATCACCAGATTCTTCACTGCTCAGTCTTCATAAAGCTACGAGCTGAATATCATTGACCAATAGTTCTATCTGTGTAAAAAAGTCATGTTATTTAAGGAAAAAACAATATGAAGCATTCTCTTTGCGTGCAAGTAAACCCCAGAAAAGGCACAGCACTCTTTGACAATGCTGTACCAGATTATAATTTACCAGTATACCAATGTATATTGAACATAAAACAAATTAAATGACAAGTCTGTGGGACAAACTGTTAAAAAATCCCCCACCCACATATTGTCAGATTTGAAGAAAAACCCTAAAAAAAACTAATCAACTCTGGTCAACAGAAACTGAACTCAGCAGTTTCACATACCGTGCTTCAAATAAGCCAAATTGATCCCCGATTTGAATTCCTAGACTAAGATACTTCTAAGAAAGAACAAAGAATTATCAAATCGATGAATTCAGACTAGAAACAAAGAGAATGCCAGAACTAGAACTTAGCAATACAGAAAATGGAAAACAAATTTCCGGAAACTGAAGCGGCATTATTATTACTATCCCACACAGATCCATAGAAAACCACAGGAAAACAAAGTATGATAATAATTTGAATTGCAAATCACATAGCCGAGAACAGTTCAATGCAAGTCAAGTCAGGCAAGCAAACCCATTGCTCAGATGAAATGAAATTCTCGGGAAACAAAATTCGAGATGTGAAATGAAAAGCAGAAACAAAAGTGCGAAGCTCAGAGCACGAACCTCAGAAACGAAGAAGACGAGGAAGGTTTGGAGAAGGCCTCGGGATCTGCGCAGTTAATAGGAGCCTGAGAGAACGTCAAGAAATCAATGGCGTTTGTGAAATTGAGGAACGCCGCCCTCGCCATTAAAGACAGAGATGGAGACGTAGACTGTGAGGAAGTGAAAGAGCCGCTCTTACCTCTACGTTTTATCTTATTAATTAATTAATTAATTAATTATTGTTTATTTTTTTAATGGGGTTAATTAATATTTTAATTGGGTTTTGATTTAGAGGAGGTGCTTCATTTTGTGCGCATTCCGTGATATAAGGAGCAAGGGAATATTTCTGGGATCTTTTTTGTTTGAGCAATAGCCATCCATCCCCACATGCATACATACATACATATGGTTAGATTTTTTATTTTTTATTTTTTCCGGTAAATACCATGAGGTGTCCTTACATTCGAAGGGTGAGATTAATCCCTAATCGAGGTTCAGCTTGCTCTTGGCCACAAAGTACTTCCAACCAGTTTCGAACTCCTGTTATTGAGGCACCAAGTAGCTCGCTAGCTGGAGGTGACAGTTTACCAACCGCACCACACCTTGTGGTTGGATAATTTCTAAACGACATAAGTTTGAATGCTTTGATAACTTTTTTATTGTTTTTTCTTTTTTTATAATTTTTTTATTAATCACATAGGTAATATTAAGGGAGGGAGATTTGAACACATTATTTCGAATGCATAATAACTACTTTTAACTACTTAAACTACAAATTTCTTACGAAAATTTGACTACTGCAATTGTCCTAAATGGGTCTCCCACTTGAACACATTATCTCACATAGAATGTTTTGAGTTTATTTTTAAACATCGGGTTACCTTGTAAGCTAATATTTATTGAATTGGATTAAATTTTAATTTAATCACTGAGTATTTTATCACATATAAAATAGGTTTTTGATGTGTTTTGCTTGGCGCATGGTGTCATTTTCTCTCTATTTGTGCCATCTTTTTCCATTTCTTTTAATTGTTGTTCATGTGGTGATAGAGATGGGTTTGGTGAAAACCCAATTCTGCCTTTAATGATGGACCAAGTTTAACTTTCAACTATGTTTGGGCATAAATATATGCCTTACGAAAGATCATTTTCTTCCTTTTTTGTTAGGTACAATGGCCAAAAGATTCTTTTATTATTATTATTATTTTATACAAGAGATATTCTATTTTAAATTAATCTAAATTACTGAGAGCACATTCGCTCTAATCAACTTGACTAAGCTTACGTATGCAGAAATTAGGTATTTGCCTAACAAAAATGAAACTTCGATTGATCCTTGTGAGCATATTCAACATTTCCTTTGATTATTTGCACTCTTCCAATATTGATATTGACTTCCCTGTGATCCCTTTGTTTGTGTTGTAAGAAATTCTTTGGAATTGCTTACTGAAAACACAACCTGTCCGCCAAAGTGCCAGTTAATATGCCACAGATTAGATCTAAGGCTACATTATTTTAATCACATTTTTTTACCTCGCCTCAAATCACTCCATTTAATACGTATAGCATCCTTTAAGTGATTCTAAAGTAAGAGAGTGTTTCAAATTTCATTGTGGCTTTTTTTTTTTTTTTTTTTTTTTTTTTTTTTTTTTCATTAAGATGGAGGCATGTCTACTTCAAAAACAAAAACACATACGAATTTGCTTTCTCTTTCTAATTTTGGCGTACATGAGGGTGAAAAGCACTTTTTCTACTCAAAATCTAGTCAAAAGATTTATATTTATATAACTATTTGTTTGTTTTAAGGAAAAATCTGTTCATCTATATCTATATATATAAAGCAAAAGGCAGAGAATGGTGAAACATTCAAAATACCAGAAAATGCCATTGGTTAATGTAAATATTAAGAATTGAAATTATTAATTAAATGAGGATAATACAGTAAATTCACACTTTTTCATATTAAAAAAAATTAAAATTAAAATTAAAATAAGATAATGGCTCCTATTTTTATGGAACATAACTACCCATTATCTTTTTTAATTCTAAAATAAATTTAATTTTTTTTAAAAAAAAGCCTCCACAGGTGCGGAAGCACATGTAGAGAGGCTAGTAATTGTTCACCGTTTTGTGATCACTCCTGTGGTGGAAGGGCAAAATTCCCACTGCCTTGAAAACCATTGACTGGTCAACAAGTCAGCTTTCTTTGGTGTATGAGCGTGCCACTGCTAGCAATGAAGATTCTAGCAGACTTATTCTAGAATAGATAACTTGCGCCCCAAGTTATTGATTTCCATAAACAAGCGATTGTGAATTCGGGTGAGGAATATCTCCCAAGTAAGTTCTTTTCTTGCCTCAGATTGGTGAGGACTTTAACAATTTATCTCAGTATAAAGAGGTTGTTCTGGCTAGAATGGTTGATGGAATTTAAGCTGTCTTAGGCAGAACTGCCTTTTACAAAACTATAAACATAAATATCCAAGCTAGAAAGATGAAAGGACAGCTGGAACTCTATTTCTGCCTGGATAGGAGGTTCTGATCCGGGCTGGACTGGAAATATCTGGGCTGGACTGGACTGTTAACAACTTCAGCTGCTAAGCTTCAGCTGTAGATCAATACCAAAAGTTAATTTTGGCAGAGCTTTAATACACTTCAAGCTTTTGTGAGGCTTCTGAGTGGGCAGAACTGTGGCTTCTTCAGTCTGTAAGGGCAGAAGTGGCTGTTCTTGAGGACTTTAGTGGGCTAGAGACTGCACTGTAAAATTTGTTGAGGTTTTCATGTTTGGGAAAAGCTCAAGCTCTATCTGTCTTGGTTTTTTGCTGAACCAAATTTGTAACGAGAGAAATCTCGTTTTGAATGACTTATTTTCTAAGTCTGAACCTTGGGAATTCTGATCTAAAGCTGGTTTTCACTTGGAATTCAAGTGAGCTTCTGGTTGATTTTGAGTTGTTTGTTTTGATTGATGACTTGAGGGTTGGATTGATTGTTCTTTGTCTTTTTCATTCCTTATTGTATTTATAGAAATGTTATATGGAGTAGGTAGTTCTTTTAATAATGGGCGGCAGATTTTTAAAAGATCTTTCCTCTAAAAATGGAAAGGAAAAAGGGATTTCATCAGTCTTTAGTAGATAGGTCCTCATAGGCTATCACTTCCCTATTTTTCTTGAAAGAGAACCTAGTCTTTTCTTCTTATTTCAACTGCCCCTTTGTGAGAGCTAAAAAACCGTGATGGTTAGTTTGATTTCCCAGTTTGAATGACTTTTTGTCTTCTTTTTCAACTTTTGTTGAGAATCATAGCCTGTCTATCTTTTCTTTGAAAAAAAAAAAAAAAAAAAAAAAAAAAAAAAAAAAAAAAAAAAAAAAAAAAAAAAAAAAAAAAAAAAAAAAAAAAAAAAAAAAAAAAAAAAAAAAAAAAAAAAAAAAAAAAAAAAAAAAAAAAAAAAAAAAAAAAAAAAAAAAAAAAAAAAAAAAAAAAAAAAAAAAAAAAAAAAAAAAAAAAAAAAAAAAAAAAAAAAAAAAAAAAAAAAAAAAAAAAAAAAAAAAAAAAAAAAAAAAAAAAAAAAAAAAAAAAAAAAAAAAAAAAAAAAAAAAAAAAAAAAAAAAAAAAAAAAAAAAAAAAAAAAAAAAAAAAAAAAAAAAAAAAAAAAAAAAAAAAAAAAAAAAAAAAAAAAAAAAAAAAAAAAAAAAAAAAAAAAAAAAAAAAAAAAAAATGACCAGTATCCCAACTTCACGGATTCTTTCAAAATAAACCTCCTTTAGAAAACAGTGTTAAAAAATTTATTAAACTGCTATATTGCAAAACGTAGACAAAAAATTAATATAAATATCTTTAAAATAATTAAAATAGCAAATCAATAAAAACCAACAAAAAAAGAGAAAATTCAAAATAAACAAGAAAAGTAAAGACAAAAAACGCAAACCACCACCACACACACCCCCCCCCCCCCCTCCCAAAAAAAAAACAAAAATCGCCCGACCTCCCGCCGAACAGCCGTCAATGCGAACTCGCCTTCGTCGCCGGAATCTCATCTCTCTCTCTCTCTCTCTCTCTCTCTCTTTCTCTCTCTCTCTCTCTCTCTCTCTCTCTCTACTCTAAATTTGCCCACCCAACACCCTAACCTAGCACTTGGAATTTTTAGCCAACCCCAGCCTCTTTGTTTTTTGGTGGAAATATGATAATATTATAGCCCACCCAAAAAAAACCTCCTCCGATCTCCATCGTAGTACCCATCTCTCTCCTCACCCTGTTGCCATGGCTCCAAGATCCACCTCCCCTCCTTTTTGTTTTTTTGGTGAAAGATGATAATATATAGTCCGACACCCCACACCACCCTCTTCTAGGCACCCACGCCCCACACCAAGCCATCCCTCAACTTCCCGACTCCATCACCCTATACCCTGACCCCAAATCGTACAAATCAATCAACACTGGATCCATCCTCACCGATCGATTTCTCACCACACCTAGATGTTGACGTTGTCGCTTACCCAACTCCACAATCTCTCTAACGACATGCAAATCTCCTCCTCGAATAGCCAACCCCACATAGAAACAAAGAGAGATGGAGACAGAGAGAAAGAGAAGGGGCGGAGGAGAGACTGAGATGAGCATAGAAGATGGTGAGTTTGGGTGGCTAGGGCTAGGAGGAGGTGGCTAGTTCTCTGGTCAACTATGGGTGCGCTAGGGACTATGGGATATGGAGTTTGAGTTCGCAAGGGAGGATGGACCGATGAATGATGGGGTTTTTCAATTCAATTGTAAGCCAATAACCACCCACCCAACAAAGTACCAAAAGCTTGCTGGCTAGCTTAATTTCATTGCATTATGAAATCATGTTGAGGGGATTGTTAGAGTTGTTGTGGGTTAAGGTTAGGGAAAGCTTCAAGGAATGATGTGTCTCATGAAAGTGAGAGAGAGTGGGGGGTTGCTTAGCTAGGGGAGAGACAGAAGGGCTGCTTAGGTGGGGGAGAGAGACAGAGATAGATACAGAGATGAAGAGAGAGAGAGATGAAAGAGTTGATGTTGGTATAAGCGAAGGAGAGTAGTGGGGGGTGGCTAGGTTTGGAGTAGGGTGCAGGCGGGGTAGGGATGGGTTTGGAGTGGATGAGGAAGGGGAAGGGAAGAGAGAGGTTTGTTTTTTCTTTTTTAAGTTTTTGTTATTTTATTCATTTTTTTAAAAAAAGTTTTTACTTATTACTAATAAAAATTTGAGATTTTTTTTATTTTTGTTGCCACATCACTAGTTAACAGAATTTTTAACGGTTTTTCTTAACGGAGGGTGTATTTTGAAAGGTTCTGTGAAGTTTGGGTACTAACGAGTCTTTAAAGGTTAGGATGAGTTTCCAATAACCCTCATAGTTTGGGGGTTTACTGTAGTTGATCCTTATATATATATATATAATAATCATAACATTCCAGGCCCAACATCATTAAAACTAAAACTAAACAAATAAATTGAATTAAACCCACAAACAAAAGCCCAACAACACTACAAACCCTAACCCTATCTAATAAGGTTATCTTGACTATGAGTCATCGCTGTTACTGTTGCCTAAGATCGCGCCAAGATGAGGTCCACGATGACAACCACTAGAACAAGAGTTTGTGAAGACACCCAAAGAGACCAATCGATGAGAATCCGGAAGAAGCCAAAGCTGCATCAAACTCATATGGTCAAACCATGGGATCTAAGAAGATCCCACACTCCCAAAACCAAACATCCATTCATAAACATCAGTCTTGAGAGGACAGCATAAGGGAGGAGAAGTTGATCGATGGAACACTCAATAGCTAGGGTGGGACAAAGGCATGGATGTGACTCTGAGGTTGTGACTGAGGGAAAACAAAGGATGAACAACCATGAAAAAACAAGAACAACAAAATAAAACTCTCAAAGAGGAGAGAGATTACTCTCACATAGGAGAGAGATAGAACATTAGTTGACATGGGAGCAAGAAAATAGAGAAGGAAATAGAGGAGAGGGGAAGAGGTACAATGAACTCCTTCTCGTCAAAGAAGGAGTGTTGCGTTGACAATTTTGGGGGAAGGGCAATTAGGGTTTGAGTGAGAGGGATAGAGAGAGAGAGAAATATATATATATATATATATAGATCGGGATTTTGATTGTGATGTTGGCCTTTTGCATACTCAAGGTTGAACATAGTTTGGCCAAAATGGCCACAACACGTGCAACATCCGATATTTATTTATTTATTTTTTTCTTCTTCCTTGAACTAAGAAAAAGATTACACCAAATATTCTCTACAAATATTTAACATGTACAAGTCAAACTGAATTTTATGTAAAACATCAAAAGGAAAATTACTAAATCAAATATAAGTATTAGAGAAATGATGTCCCTTCTTAACCAAAGTATCGGTTGCCATATTAGCCTCAAGAAAATTATCATTGATAGAAACTAAACTAAATTTGGGTATAAGCTGCCAAATATAGTGAACAACCGTTGTAGGATTCTAAAGAGGCAAAATTTCTAACGGTGCGTTTGGATGAAGGAAATAAACTTGGGATTTTGACAGAAGTGAGAATTTCAAAATTGACATAAACCATATCCCGTATAGAACAAATAAATTTAGAAATTCCGCATGGGAAAAAACATGGAATTTGGAGGTTATAAATCCCAACTTTTAAATTCTATCTAAATAGTCATCATTTCTAAAATTTCAAGAGAGATTGAGTTTATATATATATATATATATATATAAATTTTACAAATAAAAGCTAAATTTTGTGTTTAAATCCATTAGCCAAACAAGAAACTTTACAAATACTAGAACATTAATTTCCATCATTTTAAATTCCATCATTTATGAATTTATTTGTACTTTTAAATTTCCTCATCCAAACACACTATAAATGACGTAAATGAAATTGTCCACTTTCTTTACAAAGAATTTGAATTAGAAGCTTAGAATCTCCTTCAATTTCGAATGACACAAATGAAGTTGTCCTGGCCATGATAAAGTGTGCGAACACATATTTTGCTGGCCAATAAGAAGATGACACGTGAAAAAGGAATATCTCCCTAAATTAAGGAACCAATTTCCACCAAATCTCTTGGATTAATTCATATAATCTTTTTGGGTAAAAATAATCCTAACCATATAAGGATTATTCTCCCAAAACCCTATCATACAAGGAGCCTATAAATACATAGCTACACAAGATATTCAAGGTAATTCTCTTTTCTAATTCTGAAACACTACACAAACATCTCTCTCTCTCTCTCTCTCTCTCTCTCTCTCTCTCTCCCCCACACGGCTTCGGCCACCACACCCAGCTTTGGCCATCCGACTCTCTCCGTGAGAGAGAACTCCATCCACTTAGCTATTGCCGTATATTTCTTAAGATCCAATCGAACCAACTTTGGAATCGAAAGGCCTTTGGCCAACACTCCGGGTGTGGTCCATCAAACCCTCAAACATATTTGGTGCTTTCATTGAGAGCATGAGTTATACTCAACGTGTGTTCTTGAATTAAAGGAATCCGTTTCCTCCTATTCATCACTCAACTGAAGCCTTCCAAACAACCATGGTTGGAAGCATGTGAACAAGAAGTAGGGCCGCCGAGACAACTCAATCCGGGATTGGCCCAAGTCATGCTTCTCGTGGCCCCGCCGTCTAGACCACGACTTCACCTCACCGCTCCATGGTTGTGAGCACCTTTCCACCACACGGCCCCACAACCGCAGCACCAGGTCCCACTATTGAGCGTATAGCTGAACCGCATGGACATATGGCTAGAGCACCCTTGCAACCTTATAGTCTCGTGGCTGCCACGACTTTGCAGCCTCACAGCTTTGTTGTCGATTCTAGCAGCCGCCAACTGCACGGTCTCACGGCCTGATTTGATGCTCACTACCATGACGGTGCCATCGTGGATCATCCCAACATCACTACCCACAACCATTGTGGTGCTGCTACCAATTTTGGGTTCGTTGTGGAAAAATTACAACCTTTCCCTCCTTTGTCGTCGCGCTCAACGTACGCTCCTGTGTACACCATTAACGAAATCCTAGCCTGTGTGCAATTAGGCTCAACACAATTCTCTCATTTTGATCCACATAGTCAAGCAAAACTCAGTCTTAGAGTTGACCAGCTGACTCAAAGAGTAAATGACCAAAACAACTTGGTTGGACAGCTCCTTAACCAGATTGACTTGGTTTGAAACCTTGGCCTTGAGGAGAGAAGGATGGAAGAATGCACCAACAGGCAGTTTGAGAGGTCCAAGGTAGGTAGAGCAGGATCGAGCAGCTATGAAGAAGGATAAGAACAAGCTGTTAGCACGCATGCATGTCACAAGCATCTGTAAACCCCGGTCAAAGTAGATCGAGTGCCCATTCAAGATTATGTCTAAGGACCAATGTACATGAGAGGTTGGGGCCACGATCCGATGTCCATGCTCCTTTGGGACCACTAAGAAATATTCATGAGAGGCTAGGCCCCCAGGAAGGTCAATCCATTGACCCTCGTCATGAGGTATGTGAAGAGGAACGTTACCTAACCTACTATGGAAGAACCAACTCACGTCGACAAGCCACAGAGAACCCTCGCAATCATAGTCCACTAATAAGCCACATAGGGAAGATGACTGATGAGGTCAACCCTCAAGAGTCAACGAAGAAGTTAATCAGCGAAGCCCACATCATGAGAAACACCGATGTGAACCATGTGTCTTTCTAGTAGAGGATGTCGAGAAATTCGTTAATGACTGACTTTGTGACTTGAAAATCAGAGGAGATTTAGAGGATACCCTACGTAAATAGATAGACTAAGTGAACTCCTCTCCGTTCACTAGTGAGATTGAGCGTGTTGCTATCCTGAAGCGGTTCTCAATGCCATCCTTCACCCCATTTAAAGGAGATTCCAACCCCGGAAGCCATCTCAAGCACTTCAAGAGTGCTATGATCCTGTACAAGGTTGAAGATGCGTTGATGAGCAAGGTGTTTGCAATGACCCTGCAAGGAGCAGCGCAAGACTAGTTCCATACCCTAACATCCGAGTTGATCGATAGTTTCAAGAAGCTGGCTCTCGTATTCTCCAATGAGTACACTTCTTACTGGACAATTAAGAAGAACCTTGACCATCTGTTCAACATATGCAAGAAGCATGATGAATCCCTCTAAGACTGCATCAACAGATTCAAGGCAGAAAAGGCGAACATCATAAGATGCAATGACCGAATCGCGTCTTCTACCTTTAAGAAGGGCTTGTCGGCCAAGCACGACTTATATCATGAGCTGACTATCAGACCTAACTAGACTCTGGCAGAAGATCGAATCATCGTGAAAATGTCTGTGGAATGCTATGCGCTCTGAGATGACGACCGAATCACCGTGAAAAAGTCTACCTGGCAGGCCGATCAACTAACTAAATAGGCAGATCAAAGGAATGACAGGTTCAGCAATATGAACAATGGCAAGCGCAAGTTGCAACCCCAAGGAAATGCTCTGGCAGATGAGAACTACACTAAGTTCTCCATCCCAGTACATCAAATTTTAGCCCAAGTGAAGGACAAGCCCTAAGTGAAGAGACCACCACCCTTGAAGGGAGATCCGACCAATAGGGATACCATAAGGTACTATACCTTCCATGGGACACAAGGGCATTACACAAATGACTGCTTTGCTTGGAAAAAGCACCTCGAAGAACTGGTGAGAGAAGGCCACTACACCTCGAAGAATGGAAAAAATACCATCAGGTGATGGGAAGAAGATGCTCAGCCTAATGGATGAAGAAGAGCAAGCAAGTACAGTTCATATCGATAAGCCGAATAGAACAAGTAGGGGAAGAAGTAGATCTCGTTCCTAATAGTCGAGCAGACCAGAAAAGAAAGGGAATAACTACCCCATAATAACAATCAAATAGTCAAGACCATGGTGAGGGAATCTGTCCAGATGTCTCTCTCTCTCTCCTTAAAAAGGATGGAAACTCGAGGAGAACGTTGATATAGTACCCTTTAATTTTAACAAGCTAAAAAGAAAAGGGCGGATTGGCTCCTGCCTAAGCTTAGAGGAGAATGTGGAGTTGACCACCTTCCTCAAGAACAACAAAGACGTGTTTGCATGGTCACTATGTGACATGCTAGGAATTGATCCACAGATCATCAGTCACCGACTGCATGTCAACCCAACCAATAAGCCAGTGACACAGAAGAGGCGTAACTTCGCTCTCGAGTGAGTTGTAAGCATTGAAGCCGTGATTGACAAGCTGATAAGCCTATAATTTATATATATTTTATACCTCGTTTACTTATTTATTTGTTAATTTCCTTGGGTTAAATTGGTTGTTTTAATTGGTTTTGTGAGATTTGTGAAGGAACTATGGAAATAGGAGAAAGTGTGCTAAAAAGGGTAAGAAGATGAAGATTAGAGATTAATCAAGTCAAACAAGGAGAAATAAAGAAGACCATATTTTAGAAGGAATCCTACTTTTATAAGAATTGTAATTATACCTTAGATAGGATTTCTAGGAGTCTTATAAATAGGAAGTTTAGGTCATTGTTCAAAGGACCACCGACCATCACCCATCACCCATCATCCTCCATATTCATACTCATAGCCTAAATATCCAAAGGAGAATACGAAGAAAGCTTGCGCAACCTTGGCATTCTACTTGGAGAATTCGGTGCCTTCCATGTCTTCATCAACTATCATGATTCTCAATAAGTCCTTCATGAACTAATTCCTTTTACTAGGGCTACGATGTAGCCTAGCTATGAATACTCAAATTCTTTGATATTGTTAATTTTATTTATCTATACATGTTGAGTGCTTGTTACCGTTCTTAATGCTTTCAATTAATTGGCCACTAATTGCATGATTGGAAGAATTAGGTTGAGACCGGAAGGAGATTCCTATTAAATAGCTTCTTGTAACAAGTACCATAAATTACATAGCCGACTCGGAAGACTAGGTTATGGTTTGTGTAATCTTTATTGTTTTCCACAAATCTTAATGGGTTCTTAGCTATCTAAATCCATAACTAGGAATAGAGTGGGTTGATTGTAAGGAATACAATTGATATAACTCGGAAGAGAGTATTGGTGAGGTAAGGGAAAACGATTATCAACATGTTAGGTAATTAGAATTAACAAGCTAGAAGGATTTGGGTGGGATTAGCTAGGTGAAATCGATGCCCTAGTGCTTTATCATCTTTGTTTTCATCTTTTACATTATTTCCTTAAACTCAATTTATTTTGTTTGCTTAATTAGATTTTAATCATCATAATTTTCTTTTCGTTTAATTCAATTATAATTAGAAATAAATTACTCTAGTATTTAATAAATTACTTGATCCCTGTTGGAACGATACTCTACTTACTACTATATTAATTTGAGCGATATTGTCCACTTGCAATTAATCACATCAAATTTTGGTGCCGCTGCCGGGGATCAACTTAGTCTGTTAATATTAGTGTATTTTATTTTTCTAGTTCTACTTTGAATATTTAAGTAGTTAAGTTTTATTTCCGTTATTTTTCTTTAGTTCACTTTGATTCCTATTTCACTTTATTGGATTGTTGTTTCTTGTTTTTTTGTTTTTTTTGTTTTTATTATTTTAGGGCTGTTGCAAAAAATAAAAAATAATTAAAAAAAATCGAAAAGAGAGAGAACAACACAAAGCAAGGCCAAAGGATTAGAAACAGAGCTTCATAAACAAAAAGGAAACAAGCAACTTGCTGGGGTTTCATGGATTCAACTTCCTTTTTCCATTCAAATTTCTTTTCCTTCTATAATTAAATTTCTTTCCAATTTCCTTTGGGTTTTGTTTATTTCCTTCTTTAATTCTATTGTTCTCTCCTTATTTAAACAATCCTTTGTCCTTGTTTGCAGGTACAATAACTTCGTTTCTGAGCATACGGTGAATGACTGGTACCCGCTTTTCAACTAGCCAACTAGTTGAATTAGAACTTGAGATTGAACAAAAGCTTCGAGGAATTCATAGGAGTAAAAAACAAGACAGAGAAAAGAAGAATCAACAAGGAGAAGAAGAGATGGCCCTTGTACAGAATGAAACAATGGGAGACCTTGATATCCCGACAATTCTGACGTCACCTTCAAGCATCGTTCTCCCTGCAGCTGCCAGGAATTATGAATTGAATAATATTCACTTTAATATGATGCCTTCTTTTCATGGATTAAGTTCTGAAGATCCTTTAGCTCATATTAGAGATATTTTTAACATGGTTCCTAACATGGCTTTGACAGAGGGAGTCACCGAAGAACATCTCAAGATGAAAGTCTTTCCCTACACATTGAAAGATAAAGCAAAGATGTGGCTCAATTCCTTAAGGCCTGGATTATTGACTAGCTGGACAAAGGTTCAAAACAAGTTCTTGGAGAAATTCTTTTCAACTCAGAAAACTGATGCACTAAGGGATAAAATCATGTAATTCAGTCAACAGGCTGATGAGTCATTTTCAGAAGCTTGGGAATGGTTCAATAATTTTTTAATACAGTGTCCTCATCATGGTTGGCCTACTCTAGTTCTCATGCGTATTTTTTATAAGGCACTAACCGTTTCAAGTAAGGCTGCAATGAATAACTATGCAGGTGGAGTATTAAGAACAAGACGCCAACTGAATGTCAAACTTTGTTTGATACACTAGCAATTGAAACACAGCATTCTGATACAAGAGGTAAACGTGCTGGAATTTATGAAATTGGTAGTTCTAATGCTTTTGCTTCTAAAGAGCAGGTTGATGCTATAACTAGTAAATTGGACGCCTTGCTTGCTATGAATGGGAGAGCACCAATACAAGAGATTTGCTCCATTTGTGTTGTTCACGGTCATACCACCATATCTTGTCCTCATGGGGTTGATTTTCCAAAATTTTTGCAAGAACAAGCCAACATGGTGAATACCTATAGACGTCTCGGCAATGATCCATTCTCCAACACATATAATCTGGGATGGCAAAGGCACCCCAATTTTTCATGGAGCAATACTTAGAACGTACAAAAATCACCACCTGGTTTTCTACCTCAAGAGAAGAAAATAAATTTGGAAGATGCTCTTACTCAGTTAACTATGTCTACCACCCAATTTATGACTGAAACCAAAACCCAACTTTAGAATCAGAGCGCTTCTATTCGGAACTTGGAGGTGCAAGTAGGCCAACTAGCTAATGCATTAAGTGGAAGAAATCATGGAGTTTTGTCGAGCCAACCTGAGGTTAATCCAAAAATTCAAGAACATGTGAAGGCAATCACACTTCGAAATGGGAGGCCCATAAAAACTGCTGTAGATTTAGACGCAGAAACGCAGCAACAACATCTGAAAACTAAGGAAAAATCAGCTGAAAATTGCCCACCTGTAGCCGGACCACTGCAACCTTCGATTGTGAGCTCCACCGGAAATTTAGCAAAAACTGAGCAACCACCATCCAAAAATCTCGCTCCAAAATCCTATGTTCCTCCAATTCCTTTTCCGCAACGCTTGAAGAAAAATAAGAAGGATTCACAGTTCTCCAAATTTCTTGAAATTTTTAGGAAATTGCAAATTACCATTCCATTTGGTGAAGCACTAGACCAAATGCCGAACTATGGAAAATTCATCAAGGACATCTTAAGCAAAAAGAGATGTTTGGAAGATACAGAGATGGTGGAATTGACGGAGGAGTGTAGCGCAGTAATACAAAGTCAACTACCACCGAAGTGAAAGGATCCAGGGAGGTTTTCTATTCCTTGAACCATTGGCACTATTTCTTTTCAAAGAGCATTGTGTGATTTAGGTTCTAGTATTAATTTAATGCATTTGTCTGTAGCTAAAAGAATTGGTTTGGGGGAAATTAAGAAAACTAATATTTCTTTGCAGATGGCGGATAGATCACTTACATATCCTCACGGCATTCTTGAAGATGTACTAGTGAAGGTGGATAAATTCATATTCCTAGCTGATTTCATAGTTTTGGATATGGAAGAAGATGTCGACACTCCAATTATTTTAGGCCGCCCATTTCTCATTACGGGAAGAATGCTAATTGACGTAGAAAAGGGTTCTTTGATCCTACGAGATGCCGATCAAGAGGTGGAATTCAAAGTTTTTGATGCAACCAAGTATCCCATTGATTCGGAGTATTGTTTCCGTTTAGAAGCAGTAGATCATGTTGTTCAACCACAATTCATAGCGGACTACCCAAAAGATCCACTAAAAGCAAGTTTGGTTCATGAGATAGAGGTAGGAGAAGAGCCACACGTGCTCGAAATGGTGAACTTAATGGACCCCAAGGCCCTCCCAAGCACCATTGCTGCACCAACCCTCACTTTGCAAAGATACTTGGAAGAAAATTGCAATCAACAAAAGGAGACCTTCGCTCTCCATGATCCCGGGTGATAATCATTCCAAAAGTTGGGCTGGGGACTATAAATTAAGCGCTTGTTGGGAGGCAACCCAACTAGGTACATTCGTTCCTTTCTTTTCAATTTTCTTTTTATTTTTCATCCCTCTATGCCTTTACTACTCATTACATGCATTTACTTTAAACATTGAGGACAATGCTTAGTTTAGGTTTGGGGGTGTGGAATTTTGTTGTTTATGTTGTTATTTGAGTTTTAAGTCATAAAGAAAAAGAAAAAGAAAACAGATTTTGTGTTCCAAAGAAAGGGTTTTGTGTTTCAAAGAATATTTTCTCGACTTTTTCTAGCCCAAAGATGATTGAAACATGTTGCAGACGTGTTATAGATGTTGTTTTGGTCATTCGATGACTTTAAAACCCAGAAAATAGCAAAAGAGGTTATTATGTTCTTATTGTGGTCAAAATAAAAAATTTTGCCTATTTTCCTTTTTGATGTTTTTCAAGTAAATTTGAAGCCACAAACATGTTTAGAATGGTTATTATGATGATTTGAACTAGGTTTGGGGGGTCTCAAGTGATTTACATGACGTTTTAGAAAGGTTTGAAGCTAAAAAAGTGGCCTAAAACCCAAAAAAGGCCAGCTGCAATTTGCCCAGAAATATGAAGATTTTTCGTCACAAAAGGGTTTTTAGTGGCGGTGTTCATCAAATTTTTCTTTGGTAAAGGGTTTTCAGCGGCAGTGTTCATTAGATTTTTCGTCGCTAAAGGTCAATTTTCCAGAATTTTCTGATTTCATTCCAAATCAATTACGATCCATTCCATTCGCGATCAGAGGTTTCTAGGAGCTATTCCAGGTGTGTCCTCTTCCATTTGATGAAATTTCTTTATTCCTAAGCAATTGGGGCTCATAAATTCACTCATATTTGTGTGCAAATTCACAAAATCCCTTTTAACTTTTGAAAAAATAAAAATTTGTTAAAGCTTGTACTTTCTCTTACTAATAGTGATGTATATGCAATGTCTGATCATAGTTCTTTAACTAAAGTGTTGCCATAAACGTTTATGCATCATAATTATAGCACTTCACATACCATACTTCAAGTATTTTGATGGACAAGGTAGCTGTACTTGGATGATTGTGGAGAAATAGTGGAGACTACCATTGTGAGACACTTGAGCCAAATTTCCATTCATTGAGATAGTATTTGGGATTATTCTTATTCACTATTTTCTTTCTTTCTTATTTAGATTGATCTCAATTAGGCTTTTGAATTGAGTACTAAGAACTAATCTCTATTTGTATGAATCATCTTATGCTTTCACTTTCGAGTTGGATGGACCTTGAGAGATGATGTTAGGCTATGCATGTTCTAACCAATAAATAAAGCCTCATGTCCTACCCATTGTGTGTGCCATCAACCCTTTGAAGCCAAACACTTAGCCTTTTATTTCATCACCCACAATATTTCATTACCCTTTTCACCCTATTTTTTGGCCATACCCTATAACTTGGGATATGCCATGGCATATGAAGACAAGGATGTAGGTTAAACTCTACATCAACAAAAGAGGTGGCGTGTACCGAGGAATATATGTACAATTCAAAAAAAAAAAAAAAAAAAAAAAAAAAAAAAAAAAAAAATATATCAAAAAGAAAAAAAAAGTGAAGCATACCAAAAATCCTGGATGCCTTTGTGAAGTAAATTTGAAGAGCCAAGCCTTATAACATGATAAATGCCTTGGTGTGTCTCAAGTTCTAGTATTTCCTTTCCTTCTTTCATAACCCATAACCTAGCCCTTCATTACAACCACAGTAAAGACCTAACGGATCTTTGGGGACTTCTTACTCAGAATTGGAGGTATGTACTTCATCTATGGTTCTTAGTATTTGATTTTCTTTCCATGAGATCTATTTTTAGAAATTGCCTTCTATTCATTTTGGATGCATATGTGTCTTATATTTTGATTTCTTTACCTAACTTCATTCACATATGTGGGGTAAGAGTGCAACCCTAGGTTCTGTGAGAAAATTGAGAGTTATCCAGTGAGGCCTAGAGTCGAGGCGAATTTGTACACACGCCCAGTGTGGTTATCTTTAAGTTCGAGTGCTTGGAGTATCGGCTTTACACTTTACACTATGATGCATTTTATTTATAGTGGCATAACTTTAGTTTTTGAATTGTGATTGACATTCATTGGTTATTATTAGTTTGTTGGAAGTACTGTTTTAACGAATTTGTTTTGCAAGGAGCGTTTGTGGGTGTCATGACTGGTAAACCCTCAGGAGACACAACTCCTCCTACTAGGGACACCTAGAGGTTTAAAGGCTTGTGGCACATGCTAAGTGCCATCGAGATTACCTGCGAAAGTGGTTTAGTTTAGTTTGTTTGTTTTATTTTATTTTTGATTTTCAGTTTTGCTCAAGGACTAGCAAAAGATAGGTTTTGATAATCCTATAATTATATATATATATATATTTTATACCTCGTTTACTTATTTATTTGTTAATTTCCTTGGGTTAAATTGGTTGTTTTAATTAGTTTTGTGAGATTTGTGAAGGAACTATGGAAATAGGAGAAAGTGTGCTAAAAAGGGTAAGAAGATGAAGATTGGAGATTAATCAAGTCAAACAAGGAGAAATAAAGAAGATCATATTTTAGAAGGAATCCTACTTTTATAACAATTGTAATTATACCTTAGATAGGATTTCTAGGAGTCTTATAAATAGGAAGTTTAGGTCATTGTTCCAAGGACCACCGACCATCACCCATCACCCATCATCCTCCATATTTATACTCATAGCCTAAATATCCAAAGGAGAATACGAAGAAAGCTTGCGCAACCTTGGCATTCTACTTGGAGAATTCGGTGCCTTCCATGTCTTCATCAACTATCATGATTCTCAATAAGTCCTTCATGAACTAATTCCTTTTACTAGGGCTACGATGTAGCCTAGCTATGAATACTCAAATTCTTTGATATTATTAATTTTATTTATCTATACATGTTGAGTGCTTGTTACCGTTCTTAATGCTTTCAATTAATTGGCCACTAATTGCATGATTGGAAGAATTAGGTTGAGACCGGAAGGAGATTCCTATTAAATAGCTTCTTGTAACAAGTACCATAAATTACATAGCCGACTCAGAAGACTAGGTTATGGTTTGTGTAATCTTTATTGTTTTCCACAAATCTTAATGGGTTCTTAGCTATCTAAATCCATAACTAGGAATAGAGTGGGTTGATGTAAGGAATACAATTGATATAACTCGGAAGAGAGTATTGGTGAGGTAAGGGAAAACGATTATCAATATGTTAGGTAATTAGAATTAACAAGCTAGAAGGATTTGGGTGGGATTAGCTAGGTGAAATCGATGCCCTAGTGCTTTATCATCTTTGTTTTCATCTTTTATATTATTTCCTTAAACTCAATTTATTTTGTTTGCTTAATTAGATTTTAATCATCATAATTTCTTTTCATTTAATTCAATTATAATTAGAAATAAATTACTCTAGTATTTAATAAATCACTTGATCCCTGTTGGAACGATACTCTACTTACTACTATATTAATTTGAGCGATATTGTCCACTTGCAATTAATCACATCACAAGCTCCTAACTGCAGCTGTGATTGACTCTTACTCAAAGTGGCTGGCCAATATTGTTATGATGACAAAGAAAGACCAAGGAAAGTGGAGAGTGTGTAACTGACAAGCTTCATGTATGCATACTCCGGCTACAATTAAATCATGATGCATGAGGATGATAAAGCGAAGACTTCTTTCATAATCGAAAGAGGCACATACTACTACAAACTCTGCCTTTTGGGCTGAAAAACGCCGGAGTGATGTACCAGAGGCTCATGAACAAGATTTTCAAGGAGCACATTAGCAAGACTATGGGGGTTTACGTAGATGACATGCTGATCAAAGTTCCCTAATGAGTGGACCACATCACGAACCTTGCCGAAACCTTTGGCGTACTCAGAAAATATCACATGAGTTTGAATCCGAGCAAGTGCATACTTGAAGTCTCATCCAACCGATTCTTGGGATACTTAGTCATCCAAAGAGGGATCAAAGCACATCCCAATCAAATCAAGGTCATCCTCAACATGTAGTCGTTTGCCACAACGAAGGAGATAGAACAATCGCTCTCAACCGATTCCTCTCGAGATCTACAAACAAGTGCATGCCATTCTTCAAAGCCTTGAAGAAAGGACAAAGAGACAAGTGAGATGAAGAGTGTGAAGTAGGTTTTCAAAACTCGAAAAATGACCTCACTTCACCTTCCTTGCTCTCAAAACCCTTGCCAGGCGAATATTTTTTCATCTACTTGGTAGTGTCCAACTCAGCAGTTAGCTCAGCTGTCATCCAGGAAGAGTTGGGGCCACAACATCCAATATCTACACGTCAAAAGCCCTTCTCGATGTAAAGACTCGCTATTCGAAAACATAAAAGCTTATTTTAGCCCTTGTAGTTTCCGCAAGAAAATTGAGACCCTACTACCAAGCTCATTGGATCATTGTCATGGCCAACTTTCCTTTGATATTGATTCTCCATAGCCCCAAGCTATACAATTGAGTCAGTACGACCTCTTCTACCGATCGAAGACTGCTATAAAAGCCTAGGCTAGATTTTGTTGCCTAATTCACCTCATCAATCGAAGAACAAAAGCTAGTCAGCAAAAACAAGGAAAGTTTGAGAGCAGACATAGTGAAAAAAAAATCCATTTATAAAGGCAAAGAAATAAAAATGGAGTATTTACAATGGCTTGAAAATATTGACTACCAAATCTTTAAACATTAATCATCAACAAGTGAAAGAAAATATCACTTCTCCGATAAAAACATTGCTCATAAATTATGTTCTAAGGACAGAAAAGGGAGCATATCATATTATCAACTCATTAACATCATTTGATATTAGACACATCTCAGCATATATTACTTGAAGATAAATATCCATGGCCACATTGAGGTATGATAATTTTAAGGATATCTGTGCGAAAACGAAATTAGAATATTAACAAAATAA